ATATATATTTTATATATATATTCTCTATAAAATATCCAAATATATTAATTTTCAAGAGTGCTAATTCACTTAACTTTTCATAGAAATAAATGGAATAAAACATTTCATTATTACCTATTTATCTATAGTTTGTTTATATTAGCTTACCATAATTGTGGTATATCCTAAGTTCCTTGTATAGGTAGTCAAAATTTTCGCTTCGGGATCAACAATACTTTCTTCCACGATTTTCACGATATTTTTACTGATAAATCTTTCACCCCATTTGGGTACCCTATTGGTTTTTGTTAATAGACGTGTAGAATAGAGCTTTCCATTTTTAACTTCCCTCGAGATCGTATCCTCAGTAAGAACGTGCAAACTAAAAGTTATCATGAATGAAATCCACGGACAGTAGGTAAACTTGACATTATGTAATCATTTTGTATTTCAATGACATATGTGACGTAATGTGCCGATACCTGTGCGGATTTGGATATCTCTGAAAGAATCCTCGAACAACTTGTGTCCAATCGAATTTGAAAATCGTAATGTTTTCATAATATTTCACCATCGTGCGAAATCGTCTGCTCTAGGTAGATTTCAATTTATGTCGTAGAAAAGCGAGTGTGCTATATGAGCCCGAAGAATTATCAACGAGATTTATCTCACTAAAGATTGTCGCGAGAATGCAAATTCGCAAATCCGCAACGGCGACGGATCAGAGTCCGCGGCGAGCATGCCGCATGCCGACCGAAACATAAATCGTGTATTTGATGCGTGATTCAGTGTTGCTATTAGGGCCGCTTTTTCGCGCATGGCTATTATGACCAATAGTCATATCCAGGGCTGTAACATGACATACGTATATAATAGGCGTTAAAATTTTAGCGGGCTCCACGCTAGGATGAGATAGGTTAATGTAAATAAATATTTAAATATTAAGTAAAGTAAATATTTAAATATTATTAATTGTTATTAAAGGTAAATATTATTATTTATTATTTGTTATTAAACATAAATATAATATGGATATACATAATCAAAAGGGAGCCATTAAAAAGCATGCTCGTAATTTTCAAATAAAATATTTTATTTTAAACACATAAATGTATTTTATTATATACTTTCTTTCCTTAGATTTACAAATATATAACTTTGTTAAAAAATTAATGTTATTAATATTAATAAAGGTTATTAATATTAATTATATTTAAAATTCTATGTAATTAAATAATTTTTATATAATTTTTACAATTTTATATAATTGTATATAATTATAAACAATTTTATATAATCTGAAAAATTTCAATAAAAGACCAAGTGATACCTTTTTTCTTCTAAACTTCAATGAATTTGCATCTAAATACGCATGCGCGAGAAAACGTCTCTGATAACAACACTGGCGTGATTATGAGCGCTCGGCACCTCAGTGATAACAGTGCATGAAATTGTAGAAGATAGAGTTTCCTCTTTGACTCAACGAAATGTTAAGGTGCTTTTTCACGCTGACAATTAACCATAGAATAACCGCGATGTAAAAAGTCCACACAAGATACTAATTCATGTTGATGCTCAGAGCTCATTTTTAACAGCAAAATCGACCACAATTGACGCAGAACAATGAAATTTAAATAGTCATTTTTGATCATATGATCTTTTGACGCTAAACATGAACAATGAACGATGCATGAAAAAATACGTAGTTATGTGAGTGCAAGGCTGGTTTCAGAAACAACGGATTTTATCCTTTTTGTCATTTATCATTATTGTTCATCAAATGTTAAACGAAGATAAAATGATATTTGAGAATAAAATGATACTTGAATGTTATTTCTGAACTCTAATTAGTGTCGGTCCACAATAAGTGATTTAAGTTTTAAGAAATAAGAAATTGATCAATTATAATCGAATACGAAAAAAATAATTGACTATGGTTGGTCAATTTCTTACGGTTTAAAGATTAAATATTTATTGTGGACCGACACTAATGGATGCACTTAAATCCCGGTCTACAATAGATGATTTAAGCCTTAAGCTATAAGAAATGGACGAATCATAATCGAAGAATAGGAGAATACTCGACTATGATTGGTCAATTTTTTATAGCTTAAGGTTTAAATCACCTATTGTAGACCGGGACTATTGGACGCGTTTGCGCATCAGAATTGGCGACGGCGGATATGTGTCGGCGCTTGGATCGTCGATGCAAGGCGTCAGCGTGGTAGCACGGCGAACTTCCTTTTATCCGGTGTTGAAAAACCGTGAGGTGTGTTATCCGTAATGCTGTATGAAATAATCCGCGAGCATCGGGTATTTTCAGAATTTATTCGTCTCGTCTTGCGTCGTATTTGAGATCGGTGTACGACGCGGTTTTCGTTTGCACGCCGATTATTGGATCTCGCGTGCTCTTGAGGAATATCTGTTGGCAGGCGATCGTGGAGTTAACCTCCTCAGCTGGAATCCACATCGCATTTGTTAACAACCGGTTTCTCGATTATTGACGATTTCTTGCGATTCCATTGCCTCACATATTATTACATTACGTCGTGAGGAGCCATAAATTTTTCCTTTTTTATAATATAAATTTCTCTTTTCATGTGGTATATGGGAGGTTATGTCATGCTTGATCTAAAATGTTTACATCGCCAGTAAAGATATATCTCGATATAATTCGTTTTAAAGGAAAAATAATAGCGTTAAAATTTTAAATTTTACTGAAAAGTTTACCAGGATGTATATTTGTGTTAGAAATTTTTTTTGTGATTAATATATTCTTTGTTTCTTTTTCAGAATACATCACCAAAATGGTGAAGATTATGAAAGTAGGGAAAGTCGTACTGGTCCTCAGTGGCCGGTACGCGGGAAGGAAAGCTATCGTAATGCGCAATTACGACGAAGGTACGTCTGAAAAACAGTATGGACATGCGATGGTTGCAGGCATCGATCGATATCCACGCAAAGTCCACAAAAGGATGGGTAAAGGAAAACTGCATAAACGGTCTAAAATCAAGCCGTTCGTTAAGGTAAATTTATTTCCTCTTTTTTATAAATTTTTTTTTAAATCTCAATCTTTTCTTTAAATCTTAATCTTTTTTAAATCTGATATTTTGAAATTTTGCTTTGTTTAATTTTTTTTTAATATTGTTGCAAGATAATTGCTCTGTTCTACTTAATTATAAAATGTTTTAGATCTTAAATTACAATCACTTAATGCCAACGAGGTACACAGTGGATCTACAGTTAGAAAAAGTGGCTCCTAAAGACCTTAAGGATCCAATGAAGCGTAAGAAGGTTCGCTTCCAGACGCGTGTCAAATTTGAAGAAAGGTGTGTAATTTAATATTCTCTTATCACTGCAAATTTCAACACTTTAATTAATATCTAATTTGGATTATTGTTTTTTAGGTATAAAAACGGTAAAAACAAGTGGTTTTTCCAGAAATTAAGATTCTAATTGTTTTTAAATAAAAGTCTGATATACAGATGTAAAAAGTTGAATACAATTTTTTTCGTCACATCCTTATATGTAAAAGATATACTGAATCTTTATATTACATTATATTTTTATGATCATTTTATTTGACTTTTAGTTTAATTTATACTTAAGTTACTTCGCGATTACTTAACTCTCCTCTATATCATATATAAAGTGTTCAATAAAGCTTATGAATTTTTTTACTGAAATTCCAGTTTTATTTTGTTTTTTGTATGAAGATATATTACTTGCTTTTATGCCTTATATATCTATATCTTAGTAGGCTCATATTATCTGCAATTACATTATGGATATCAAATACTATGCAACATTTTGAAAGCTTTTTTGTTAGCGATACAAAAAAAGCAAAAAAATTATATACAGAATAAATCACATTAAATAAATAATTTAGCACGATAAGAGTATAGATGTCTCGAGTATAAATCAATCTTTATAAGTGAAATTAATTTAGCTATGTGATAACTGGTTTTAATATTATCTAATATTTATTTCGATGACTCAAGTTTCTTGATACGTTCGTTGAGCAACGCTATGTTGCCTTTTATAACTTCCATATTGGAGGCAAAACTTTCCTGCACTCCCTTTAGCAAAGATTTGTTACTGTCCAATCCCGAGGAGATTTCTGCTTGCAGTTCTTCTAATCTTGTTAAAGATTTACTGAAGGCAGCAGCTGTAAAGAGCAAAACATTTTTTTCAGTTATTTTTTATAGAAAAATATATACACTTGTTGAATAATTCTACCTTGTTGATGAATATCACTCAGTGCCAATAATCTTTCCACTGTTTGCGGTACTATTTGTGATATAGTATCCGTTTTCTTCATTATTTCATACATCTCCGAGATCTGTAAAAAAGAAATCAGAATTTATTACGTGGGAGGAATAAATAAATCTGATTCAATATAATGTTGATTTTGATACTTAATAAGTATTTTACCTTTTGTTCTTGCTCTGAATCTTGTTCTGTTGTTGCTTTTTTCTGCGCAATACTATCCATTCGGTAAATCAAGGTGCCTAATCTTGTTTCAATAGTGTCTAATTGGTTAACGTCTAACAATGAAGTTTTCGCTTCTAGTTGTTGCATAGCCTCCATAATGCCCTGGCATTTAAGATTCTGTGGAAAAAGGAAAATTACAAATTTCTTTGAAATACATATGAAAGATTATAATAAATCTTACCTGAGAGAACTTAGAAAGTTTGTCGTTACTTGTGCCTATGATACTTTCTAGGCAGCAAAGTCTTTGCTCGAGTTGCGCGATCCTAGCAGCTTCCTGCATCCTTGCTTTTTCCGGCAGATACATCATCTGATATTTAAGGATACCAGGTTCAGCCGAATCATCTGTTTTTTATTTTCCGATAATTTAGATGGAGATACGCTGCTTTGTTTGAACAGTTCTATCTGCGATACCAATTGCCTATAACATAAACATAATTCTGAAATCTGCAGAGGAAAAAGGACATTTATAATAGATCGTAAATTTTTGGTTCCACATACTTAAGTTAGTGCCTTGTGGATCTGATAAACTTGCAACTACATCAGGCCCTAGACACTCTTCTAGTTTCAGAGAAATCAATTGTTTTTCTATCTGCTGTGTCTGAGAAATGATTTCGCTTGCAGACTTGACTTCCTCTTCGTTCTTAGATTTTTCCTATATACATTATCAATGTTATCACAAGTTAATTGCAAAATAATTATTGCAGCATATTTTATTAATATTATGACAATTTACCTTTAATTCATTCACTTCTTCATATAACTCCTTAACTTCACATTGCAATCGTTGATACTTTTGAAGAGGAGTTTCTTTCTCACTCTCACCAACAAGTTCCCAATCACCAAATCTGGAAATGTTCATATTATATGTCATTTAAATGCTTGATATTGTTAAACTCTAGAATAGCTTACCTATATCCTGTCCTTGGCTTGTTGGATAGACGATCTGAGAAATCGACAGGTTTCCCAATAATCTGCTTGCCTTTAAACTTGTTGAATGCTTCTTTGGCACTGATATGCAGCTGTTCAACACAAGTGCTGTCAGGTTCATCCTGGATAAATTCAATCAATTGTTAATTAGTACATAAAATATTATACATATTACACGTAACACAGATTTGCATCTTTTACCTCGCAATACATTCGCATTTGCTCAGACTCCAGCAAATCACTCGTCTCGTAGACATCGAGCTGGTCGTACGCCTAAAATATGAATAGCAAATATGAATTGCAAGTGAATACCATAGAATTGTATTTACCTGTGCGACGATTTGTGTGATGTGTGAAGTTATATAAAACATGTAAGATCGGAGACTTACAATTCCGGGTAAATCTGCGTATTTGGGATCTGCCATTTCTTATAATTATTCAGAAATTATTCGAATATCGCCAGAACTTTAGTAAGATATCGTCTTTGATACAACTCAACCTATATATGCAGACCAACCTGAGAATAATACTAATGAAGAGATATTTCAAAACGAGATGAAAAGCAGAAAAGCAGTGTCACCATCTAGTGACCGTAAGAATGAAATACATTAGATCAAAGTTGTATAAAGAAAAGGATAAATTTCTTTTGTAGGTGTTTTAAACAAAAACTGTACATAAAATGACTTCAATTAAATTATTTTAAAGATTAATTCAAATGGTGATTATAATTTATTATTTATACAACATACATTATACATTTTATTAATAAAAATAAAATTATATTTTTTTTAATATATGAAAAAATGTTATTAAGAACAACAATTATATGTATAATTCAACATGTATAATAATTATAAAAATGTAATTTTAAATAAAATTGAACATTATCAAATTGTAAATATATATACATGTCTAAAAAATGTATTAAAAGATAATAACAAATCATAAAACGGATATTACAATATGAGCTAGTTGTTTAAATTTTAATATTTATGTAACTTTCATAAAATTTGTCGATTTTTTTCGAATCTTATTACGACAAAACTATATTGATGGTAGATGGTATGAACGTAATTATTTTTGACATTATATGACAAAGTAGAAAGACAACGGATAAATTGAATTTATTAATAAAACATCTGTTTGATTTAGTAGAAAGTTGTACAATTTGAAAAATTCGTCATGCAGCAATGCTTCTTCAGCAAAACTTGCTATTTGAATAAAAATAAGTAAACCGAATTACTTCTATTACTTCTATTATATTCTATAATCACAGAAGAACAAAATTACAGAATTAATCCGTGACATCACAAATAATAGTATTTATTGGTGACTGGTAATTACTTAAAATGTCGAATTTTTTATTTTATAAATTTTTATAACTTTAATGTTTTAAATCTTTGAAATTGTTATGATTTTAAAGCTTTTTAATTTTTAAGTAGTTTAAGATAAAAAAATCAACGATATTAAATGGTTTAACGGCATTACATTATCATATTACTTATTGTATATATATTTATATTATTATATTATATTGTATTATTTATCATATTACTTATTGTATATATAGATCTAAATAGAATTTTAAGTAATACGATATAATTGTTATGGTTTTAATTAAAAACTTTTATTTTCTTACAATACATTAAATTAAAAAGATATAATAATGTTTTGTGACTTATTACTTTTATAATAAATTTATTAAAGAAGAAAAGTATGATATTACTTTGAGAGTAAATTGAAAAACACGAAAATTCGATATTGCGACTTTTTGCACTAATCAAAATTAATAGAATAACATACATGTTTCAAATAGAGTAATGTAAATAAGTTTATAGTCTTATATTCTCTGACCAGTTCATGAATTATAGATTCAAACGCTTTACATAAATTCTAAATTTTTTATTAGTTTGATAGTATCATATAAACGTGTAATGCTAAAGTTCAACGTATTCTACATTTTCAAGTTATATTTTATAGATCTACGTCGTAAATCTATATCGTAAATCACTATAAAAGCATTTCTTTAATCTAAAATGTTTATGATAAAATACATATATGAAAAAAATTATATTTTTTTATATTTTAATATTTTATGTTAAATAAAATTTTAATTTTTTAAATTTATTACTTAAGGATTTTATTTTGTTTTTTATTTTGACATATTTGACGTAAAATTTTTAGTGCTTCTAGCTAAAAACAAATTTTTTTAATAAAAATATTTATTCTTTAATAAAAATAGCTTTTGTGAATAACATTTTTTTTATTACTTGAAATAGTAAAAATATTTTAAATGTTCACATTAGGGACACTATGTAAAAGCAGAAGATATTTTGAAAGATCTGATTTTTGATAAGCTTCAGACAATAGTCTCGATTTAATTAGTTTGAAAAAAATAAATATCACACGAAAGAAATTCCACATTGACATTGTTTCTCGCAATGCTCAACTTGCACACTCCCCTTTCTTCAACCTCATTTCTACGTAAAAGTCCCATTATTATTCTACACTGTAGGTGAAGAGAATAAATCACGAGATTCCTAAGCCAATTGATTCTGTGCGCATCTTGTCTTGTCGTGGTCGGCCTTCGATAAATTACTTTCACCAATAAATCAAGAAAAATAATCTCACTAATTGTTATTTTATATAAATTTCATTAATTTTACGATAATTTCTATTACAGGTATAGGAGGAATTACATCTTATTATTTTTATTAAGAGAAAAAAAGGCATATAATATTATTATACATATAATTTTTTGGAGGATTATTTAAAGGGAGTCAATTTTATTGTGTATTGAATTTGTAAATACACGTTTGTAATGTACACGTTGTACAAATGTTATATTAAAATGTTGTAAAAATGTTACGCGAAATTAAAGTTAAAGTTAGACTACTGAAAAGTAACTTGAAAAAAATGGTCCAACATATCCTTTTAAGCGTATTTTCTTTCGATCATAATAATCCGTGTAATCCATCGCCAAAATCAATATTTGGCTCGATCGATCCGCGTTGTATTCAAATCTTATCATTAGCTTCAAGAATTTTCGTCTATCGCGTAATACAGTTTCTTATCTATCCATCTCCCGATTACTGGCATACGATTACGCGTTTCGCATGGAAATGTATTGCAAGTGAGCGTGCAAGGACGGCGTCTTTCGTAGGTGCAGACCCGTTTCCGAGTCGTGATGTGTTTATACATATCGAAAATTAAATGCGTTCACTCGACTTTTGCGTGCGGCAAAAGTACCAGAACTAGTCCCGTGTCTTGTCATGCGTGCGTTTGCTCGGTTCTCTTTCCTTTGGTGAGCGTCGTAAAAAAAAAAAGACATCTAGTCCCTTTCGCTTTCGATTGGCCACTTTGGACGATTGTGCAGTCTGATAGAAGGCAATCTCTGTTCGCCAATTTGATAGTGGTTTTCGATATGAGCAATTTTATCCCGCTTAACTACCTGTTACGCACACATAACACTCGAATTAATTTACAATATTGACCATTTTAGGACCATCTTCCACCGAGTCGATATAAATTTTTGCTCTTCTGTAGTTTTTTAATTAATGATTTGCATTTGAATATAAGGAGTCTTCTTGTCAAAATTTTTCGAAAGCGGGGAGAAGACATAGGTAACAGATGTTATCTCCCCGTCGCTATTGAATAAACATAATTTTAATAGAATTTCAAGAAAAAGGCTTTACTACAAAAGCGGTAGCTGAATCAGTTAAGTGACCAACAGGTGTAAGTAAGTGTTAAGGCATGACAAGTCAGACGAGCGACGGCGAAACAATCGGAAATCGAGAGAGTGAAAGAGAGAGAGAGAGAGAGAGAGAGAGAGAGAGAGAGAGAGAGAGAGAGAGAGAGAGGGGGGGGGAGAGGAGAAGAGAACTGAGTGATCGCGCAGGCAACCCGGAAGGAACAGGTCCTCTCATCTGCCGCTAGCAGGATCTACGCTAGCCAGGTGAGCACAGGTGAGCATACCCGGCCCAGTGTACTGTCGGACGTCGGCACGGCAAGAGGCGAGTGTAGAATACGAATAGCCCGAAGGGAATCCGAGAGTGCATTCAACTCGGGGAATCGCGCGTATCGTAAATCGCGAATCGCGTGCGACGGGACGCAGCGGCGTCGGCGACGCGTCCGCAATACCCGCGCGAGGAAAGCCCGAGGAAACATGCCTGGGATATATCGCTTTGGCGGATACCCGTTAACGGTAAGCGGAGATTGATTCGTCATTCGACTCTTGTCGTTAGCTCGATTATCTCAACGTCTTAGTCTCGCGGGAAATATCGAGAAATATATATTTCACGTATGAGGTGCGAACGTGCCGCGTGCCGCACGTGGTTTTCGCAACGATTTTTCTTATACAATTATAATTTTCCTTGCACACGCGTCCGATTATCTGTACGTAATGCAGTTTCTGCAGTTTGTAGGATACCTCTTAAAGGCGCCAAATCGTTGTTTATTTTAGAAATATACGGATTTCTATCGGATTTCTTTCGGAAAAAGATAGAAATCTATTTATAATTTCATATGCCCCTCATTATGTTTATGTATAAGTATACTTTAATATATATCCTATATCCTTTTTAGATTTTTAAATTTGTTTTCTAGATTTTTCTGATAATTACAAGCCGGTTAATTTTTCATCAAATCATTCTTTTTCACTTTTATAAAATTCTTTCTTTATGAGATTACAAATTGACGCCATCTTTTTGGTATAAATTTTTTATAGAAATAATAAAACGGTTTATTCACCGATATGAAAATATTTATAAAATTCAATTTTATTGATGAACTATAAGTTGTGAATTTTTAATCTTTGTAACAACTCTTTTTTAAAGAATTACAAATTAATGCCAGTTTTTTTATTACACTGCATAAAACAATATAAATAGGATTTTTTTGCATTCTAAATTTTGATTGTCCAATAGTAAATTATAGGTCGTTCAAAATGAATTTAAAAAATATAAACGACACAAGTTTGACTGCTATTTTTTCAAGTTTTACTATACGTGCAGAAGGGGAAACGTGTCAAACGTTAAATACAATACTTTATTGAATTATTTAACTGCAAAATATTCTAATTAACAATTGAATTATTAAAATCGATGTAAAAAAATAATTTCTAAGTGTATTGAATGACATTCTGAATTTCCGCACGTGCGCAAACCGCGTCTGAAAGCAGGTTACGGGGTTAGTGGTTGGCGATAAATGAAGTAAAAAAAAAAAAAGGAAAGATAAAAAGAAGGGCGGCTGAAGAGAGAATAAGATAAGATTCTTATTCCACGGCGATCGAGCGTAGAAGTGCCGCTTGAATTTCAACTCGACTGCCGCTCACTCCGTTTACAAACAGCCACAAGGTGGAGTGGACCGAAAGCGCGGGTCAGCGAGCGCTCTCGTTTCGCGAAACTTCTTGAGAAGGTGACAAGGTCAAGGTTTGCCGTCGTTAAAGAGATCCGGCGTATGTGGAGGAGAGCTGAAAGGAGTAGCTGAAAGGAGGGCATAAAAAAGAAAAAAAAATACTGAATTAACGTTGCATTTATGTCTCATTGAAATTTACAAGTTACATTATAATATAAATCTAATTATTGTACACAATGGGGTAAAAAATGGAGCAAACTAATTTCTTCTTTAAGAATAAAGTCCACTTAAGGTGCTCTATAATTAGTCAAATTCTTAGATTTTTAGGAATTCCTTTTATATTTTATATGCTGTGTTTGCTACATTTTAATATACGTGTATATTTTATTATATATATATTAAATATGTATCTTTTGATTTTTTAATTATTTTTGATATTATAGTATAAATTTACATATGAAATTTGATCTTAAATAATTATAATGTTAACGCAAATTATTAGATTGTTTAAAATGCTTTTAAACAAAAATATGATATGGATTCAAGATTCTATTTTTTATTTGAAGATGTTTCACGATTTTCATCTAAAATTATAAAGTGAAATCATAAATATAAATATAAATATAAAGAGAAATATAGTTATTTAAAAGTCAAAATATAAGTATAATACTAGTGATACTTGTTAATATTAATTAATATAATTAATATTATACAATTTTTGCTGTTAATGCATATACAAACATCACATTATACATTTGTTACTAATATATCTTGATTTTTGTTTGTGTGATTGTATAAAGTTATTAGTATTAGTAATTGTAAATAACTTAATTTCAGAATTGTCAGAACTATTCTGCTTTCTTTAAGTGAAAAGTTAACGGTTTGCTAAAGCATTGTCAATTTTAAAAGTTTATATAAATTAAACAATGTTCCTATAAAGCTGTAAAGCGTAACATTAGTTTAGACGAGTTTGTCTTAAAGTAGTAAATCTGTACGATTTAAAATTAAATTGTGCAAGGAACAAAGCGATAAATTGTTAACGCTCGATATTGTACAACTTGTGTCGTAATAATCTCTAACAAACAAACTTCAAATCAAGATAACAATGATACAGTTATAACGAGTCATCTTCAAATGGCAATACGATGTAGATAGAAGTTCACTAATTCATAAGACAGAAATACTTTTCATTTCACTCTTTTACTTTCGTCCATGTTTTTATGAAAATATTCCAGTAAGCAATCCTTGAACATGTAATCATCCGAAATATGAAAATCAAGCTTTTATGATAATAAATTATTCTAATTATAAGATATCGAGTGATCTGTAATATAAGCGAAATTCTTTATCAAACAAGTAAAAGTCTTTCCGAAAGAAATAGTTTTTTTTTTTATATACATAATATACGCTGCTTGACTAACTGTTGCATATCCATTTAACGTGTTCAACACAGTTCCTTATAAATAATTATACGATATCGCCTTCTCGGCACAACCGTTAACAAAACCGACCGGTATTTAGGTTTGTTCGGAGTGCGAACGTCGTTGTAAACGCTTGTTGGATACAGACTTCGCGTGTTTCGCTCGCAGGAGTCTAAACATCTCGTTAGAGAAACTTGGATGGCATATGTTTATCTAAACTTCTGCGCACGACCGTAATATTATGTCTCCTCGCGAAAGGACTTATTACGTGCACGGGTTAAACGGTACTACCGGCGCAACCGGCGGCAATTACCGAGCCACTCGGTTAGCCTTGCTAAGACGTCGCAATACAGGCCAGCGCGATTACTTGATATCCGTGTGAAAGACCGGAATTCAGCACGGTTATCAGGACGCGCATCGCTAATGCGCGTTAGGAATATCGCAAGCAAGTTGTCGCAAGCGCCAAGCCACCCGGAGAGAAGACGCAGATATTAACTTCGGTTAACCCCGGAGTGCCGGCCGTAATTCACGTAATTCGACGGGATAAACTGACAGATCGATAGATTAATATAAACTATAATACATTAGACTACAATACATTATGTGTATCGTTCGCATCTCGGTGAGACGTATCGATCTAATGGTAATTGATATCCGCGTGAAATTCTAGCGGAAGTTGCGGTTAACGCACACATTAACAATTCTGGAACTTTGAAAACTCTGGAATTCTGTAAGTATCGGCTCGAGAGCTGTCCGGCTCTCGCTATCGCCGGCGGTCAGCCGGCGATTTCGATCGAATTTTTCGTCGCTCGCGCTAATTGCATAATTCCATTGCAACGGACCGGATCCGGGCGCCGATGGAAATTGTGGTAGCTGGCGGTCGATCTGGGTCCCGTCCTAACTCTCCAATGTAGGCGAGCATTTCGCTCCCGTGGCATTCTCTGCGAAAGGGCACGTGGAAATTCACACGCACGTTCTTCGCGCCTGCCGTGCGAAATATCGTGCGGTTCCTATGTGGATACTCCATAGGGAGTGAAAACACAATCCGCAACATTTAAGGACTTGGGCAAATTTTTATACCGCCAAGTCTAGTCTTGCGATATGTCATTGACTTATACATATCTATTACGATATACTTGGTGTTATTTAATTTTCCTCTTTTAATCTTTGCACACCTTTTCTTGAAATTATTAATATATTTTTTTCTATCTCGCTCCTTTTTAATTAAATTTAAAATTTATTTATCTCGATTATAAATTGATAAAAATTTTGTTTATATTATTACCTTGTTCTTCCATTATAGTTCTTTATAAATCTCGTAGAGAATATTGTAAATAAATAATATAATACTCGGATTAATACTCGGAAAAATATAAATGACATCATGATTTAAATTGAAAAAATGCAGAATTTCTTTGTACATTCTTCGTACATTAATGTGCAATATATTAAATGCCCGTGGGGCATTTCTATTTTCCCACAAATAAGAAACAAAATGTGGATTGCGCCATTGTCGATTGGCCATTAAACGCATTATTCACGTATCCGGTTGATCGTAGCGCGGAGTTTCGAGAGTACGATATTGTCCGTATTGTTTGCGCTCGGCGGCTCGAGAGTGCCTACCGAATCGAGTGCATCTCGCGCTGAAGCTCCGTCCTGCTAAACCTGGCGAAATCCTTCATTAGTCCGAGCGACGATCCGCTCGAGCGTGTCTCTCCTCGGACGGCGGCGTATTCGCCGATGTCCATTCGAGCGTGACGCGCGACGGTCCAACATCGCGGTTCACTATCATGGTCCAGCGGTCTTTAGTAGTTTCTTATTCGTTGCGCTCACGTCTTCTTGAATATTCCCAAAGGCAGAAACGCGAAAACCAGACCGAGATCCAATATTACAATCCAGCAAATCTGGATGATTATCTGATTGCCGCCGCACACAATTTCTGGTTAAACGGAGTAGAACGTCGTATAATTTTGCAAAATATTAAAAAGTCCGTTTACATCCGTTTACATTATTTAAGAAGTATGAAGTTTGTGTTTTTCCCGTTTTATTTCTCTTTCTGTGCAGCTTGCATAATGTGGACATGTCCGGAAAACGAAATGTCAGATAATAGAAAGCCAATACGTTATAGATTGTATTGTACAATAAGATGAAATGTTATTCTAGAAAACTAAGATTAAAATCAACGTAGTAATAGTATGAAAGACAAATGATATGAGTAATGAAATATCTTCCTCGATAATGCCCGCTGATTCATAAAATTAAACGATAAATCAATTACAGTTTGTAAAAATTTATATTTTTATATTCTTTTTATTAAAAATTCGATTAATAACATATCGGTTCTTTAATAATTAAATTATGTTAATTAATTGTTGTTAAATTATGTTGTTTAAATTATATCGTTATATTAAATTATCTTGCAGTGAAA